CAATGTGATGGGCATTATTATTGCTGTTAAATTATAAGAATATGTGTAGTAAAGAGGTCAAGGGTAAGACTGAAAGAGACAACTCACCGAAATTGACCAGTTATTTTTCCCTTTAAAAAAACTCCAACCTTTAAATTGGCACTAACACTACAAATTTTGTTCGAATTTGGCATTTGATTAAACGACCATTTTGGATAATAACTGTAAGCCCAAACCGCATTGACAGAGATCTATTGATTTAAAACTTTCACTGCATTTTAGCTATTGCTGAAACTACCACAAAATTACTGTCTCATTCAAACAGCAGGCACATGTTAAGCTGGACGCTTGGTGTAGAAGTAGTAACATAGCTTGATTGCTTATTAAAGCTGTATGAGATTTGGTTTTAAGTACTTTAGTTTTTCGACGATTTTGAGTCAACCAAGGACTACACGTTATCATGTAATCGATTATTTAGGCTGTAAATTTTACGTTTTTAGCCATAGCCAAAGATGCATAGACATACATTTTTAAAATGTCATTTTAAGGGATGTTTCTTAAATATATCGAGTTTCAGTATCCATTGGTCCAGGAGTTTGGGTATTACATCCACTCTTCATTTTTATATATTTATATTTTGTTTTACTCTTTTAAAATATAAGTTCCACTCAAATCCAATTATCCATGTTAGCTTAGAGCTTCTGAAAGATGCTAATCTATAGTGTAACGAATTTAGTTGGGAATATCTCGAGCGGTGTAAAAAGTAAATCAAAATTTATGTCTGTTTTAGATTTATTCATTAAAAGACTCGTATGATTTTATTTTTGTGTTAAATGTGATCACAACGTTATCATTAGAACGTAAGAGTTGGATTCACTAAGAGTTAGAATTAACCATTTAATCCGGAACACGTTACAACTCATGAAGCGTGGTCAGCGTGAAGTCAAGGTTTGTGATTTTTTAGAATCGCTAAGTCTTGACGACTGATTAATTATTTAATAACTTTATCTTTGTTGTCGGTAAAATTATCAAAACAGATATGGAGTATGCGTTTAGTACCCATAATGCCTTGCCTGAAACTCTGTCTAAAATAGACTCAAACTATTCAACAGACGCTATAGTGGACTTATAAAATTAAAATTTACACAATTATTTCCCCCGAGAAATGTAGAGAAGGCAATTTCCACTATACATACTGTACATTATACAATGACTTACACTATAATATAATTCTTCAATCACCGTATTTTCAAGTATGCTAGAGTGTTATTCCACAGAATACATAGATTACTATAAGCTAATTTTTTTTATCCACAATTGTGGTCTAAGTCAAGTTCTCTCAAATTGTTGGATTTAATATGTTAGATTTATCATGACAATCAATAGCTATTCTGTAGACCAATACTCAGAATCAATAATCTAGATTATTCGGACCTCTGTCGGTATATATACCATACTTATTACTTATTTTACTAGACATAAATTATTAAGAATGTAATGTATGTTTTACAGCTGTTTGTATAATACGATAATTGTATTAAATATATTATAATGTATACATACATCTTAACGCTGACTTTAAGCATAATAACGGATTGTAGGTATTACAGTTTTACGCCACTTCATGTATAAAATATTATTAACGTTAATCGGTTGCTAATTTCCGTCTGTTTATATACATATAGAACAAAAAGGATTTTATTTTGTTTTTGAGGCGAAAATCTCGTTAAAATAACAATAGGTATACAAACGTTTTTTACATTTTTTTTTTTTTAATTTGTTTATTTAATGGTTTGCCAATTAAAATGTTTGTTATTGTTGTTAGCTGCTGTTATAAGTGGATTCCATATTCAGTTTAAAAAATATCACCTCACCAAGCAGTTCATTTTTTTTTTCAGATCAGAAATCAATTTTATTGTAAATGAGAATAAATTTAATTGTTAGTTAAAGAATTACAAAAAAAAACATAATCTGTTATCAAAAATAAAGATAGTACGATGATACATTCATCTATACAGTAAGATACTAATCAGTAAATGGTATAAATTCGAGATAGAAATTGAGCACAAAAATAGATTTAATGTACAACAGTAGTAGGAGTATCAGTGAAACGAATCAAGAGTGTGTGCATACGCCACGTTAAAGTTTATACGACAAAAGAAATAGTGGTTTTTAGTAACAATATTCTTTTCCAATGTGTATATGATTTATGTAGGAATAAAAAAATCGAATTTTTCAGTTTCAGAAAATAATAATACAATGACAAACAATAATTTAATATTATAAATTATAATTTATTATTTTTATTCTGGAAATCATAATCTATAAACATTCACTGGGTGCAACTAATGCGAACGTATATGAGTACATACTGTACATAGAAACCGATTTTTATTGTCTACCAAAAGCCAAACAATAGCTGATAATAATATACAACGTGGCAATTGCGGCCGACCAACCAGCATAACTGACAAAACTTTCAAAGGTCCAATATCATATAATTTGTTTTTTTTTTTTGTTTTGTTTACCTTCAGCGGCTTTCATATATAAACCAATACGGCTGATATAAATACACATTATTATATAATATGTGTATATATGCATTTCATTTCTCTTATACTATACTATATATTGTTATATTATTATACGATTATTCTTTTAAATAATATTTTTATCGCTTACCCTTCAAAAAAGGTCACGAGCCTTTCGAACACACATAATACTACAACAGTAGTACAAAAGTTAATTGTACCAAGGGATACACAATGTATATTTTGTTAAAAACAGATAAATTATTTGCATTGGCTATAAAACTATACATATACAGCAAACTGCAGTTATATATTATAGCTATAGTATAACATATAACATTATAACATGACAATATTTTTTGTCACAACAGAAATGGTGGGTAATAAAATAAATTAACTAAATATTATAAAAACGTATTTTAATTTAATTTTGTTTTCCAAACATAAAAAAAAATATTTTGGTATGATGAACATTTGTGATGAGACTAATATTTTTTTTTTTTTAATTTCTGTCAATTTTAAAAACATACCAACAAAACAAATCGTAATAATACATAATATTATTATAAGCGAGTCATAAAATATTTTACAGTTAACACGTTGTCGTACGAACTTTTAAAATAATACCCACTACGATGTATTAAAATTAAAATAACAAGAACCATACATATAAACATATGTAAAAAAAAAAATAAACAAATATATAATTTATAATCAGTTACTAGTGGTAGGTGTCGATTTATATTCAAGAGCTTTGAAACATCCTTCCGTGGTCTAGACTCTTACTTGCTTACGATTTATTCAACAGTTTGCTATTTTCTCTAAAAATACTCAACGATTCAAAGGAAAAAAATTGTATGTATTACAGTACAATTTACGTTCGATATTGTAAAATATATACTATATTGCAGAGGAACGCATAATATAAAATTTTTGTGAATTCTATGGTGAGAAAAAATAATAATAATTTCTGCACAAGAAAAAAAATATGTGACTACAAATAATGAATAAAATAAAATTCCGTTTAGGATAAAATTATTGTGTATAGATTAACATGGATTTTCATTTTTAAAATACTATTAAGTAAAATATTTATCGATCGATGATAATAATTATTGTGGATAAATAATATTTAATACCAACCGTCAATAATCTATCAAGCATTAATTTTATTCGATTACTGAATTAAAATTCTGAGAACACAATTTGAATGTGCGCAAAAACTAATGTGCATAAAGAGTGCTTGGACACGGGTAAATATTTGCATAACAATAATAAAATAACATAATATTAAAACCAAACATACGATATTATGATGCGTTTCGACGTAATTGGCGATGATGGTAAACGCGTTATAATTGTTGTGGTTAAATTTTAATTTCCCATCGGTTTTACAGTGTCGACGAACCGTGGCAATGTTTTAATGCCAAATAAAGAACAAATCGATGTAGTGCAATTCGACGATACAAATATATATTATACATTATTATACATAAATACTATAGATAATATCATATTGTACAAACGGTTATCGTAAAATATGGAGAGACATGACAGTCACGGTACAATTATAGGCGTCGACGAGGGTGCTGTTGTGAACGGGTTATAAAACAATAGCAAATTTTCAGTGAAAATAATAATGATAATAACAATCGGTAGTAAGTATATGGTCGGTTGAAGCTTTGAATTTCAAAGAGACTCTCTGCTACTTAATTAGTAAATGGTTAATTTATAAAAATGTGTACGCAATACTGCAGTTGCCAGCTTACAGTACCTACCACTAAGAATTTATTTTAAGTCCATGGTTTATCATATTTTATACCTATTTGAACATTGAATAAAAAATATTAAAAAATCAGATAATGTGAATTACTATGAAAATTATTTTTAAAGTGTATAATTTTATGTTTTATTATTTTAGTTTAATATTTTGCTGAAGTCCATTCGTTAGATGATTTCTTCAACAACAAAACATGTTTTTTTAATTATTTTACTATCAATCATACTTATTGTACCTACATTCTTACTGTATATAATATACTAGTGTATATACTTAAGCTGTACAGTTCGTACTACATAAATAATAGATTGATAACAATTTCAATTCAAATATTGCACCTACGTCATTTTTAGTTTTATACTGACGTATTAAAAAAAAAAAAAAATAGTAATAGTTATAATTATTATTATAAATAATCAAAGGAAAATATTGTGTTTCTTATGTTTTATATAGACTCATAGTATAACTCTGTATTAATTTGGTTAATAGTTTAAAATAAATATGTAATAAAAAATAATGTCTATAACATTTGAACTCTATTCATTAGTCGTTCAAAACTATACGATATAATATTTTATATTTATATTGAGGGAAATTTCATGTGATCACCACTATTAATAGCATAATACAGTTAGGACACTAATATATATATATATATTATATATTTAGATAAACAGCACATTTAATCAATTAAAAAGAAATTTACATACCTTATATATGTTTTGCAGTTAATTTTAATTTATGAATCTTCGCGACAGCAATTACATTCAACTTTAACAATAAACAATGCCTGCCAATAAAAATACAATTTTGTATTAATATAACAATGAATGCACAAAAAAGAAATCAAATACCATATATAATACATAATATTATCAATGCCATATACCTATATAATATAATAAACTACTGTGGCTTAACATAAGCTAATCCCGTACATTGTGGACGATCACATGACCGGCAGAGTCAAAACTAATATTTTAAATGATTACTTATACTATGATGTAATTTAAAAGTGCATAATATCCAATGTATGGCTCTCATTCCTAAGACGTTCCTTAAAATAATATTAATATTCAATCACGTATCTTATCGTTGGCCAATAAATTTCAGTCTATATTTTTGGGGATAGTTATGAGTGTTATGACGATCGATTAATGCAATATTAATAAAAAACCCTGTCATAAGCACTGCCGAAAGCAATATTATTATTACATTTATATTTATTATCTAATAATTACATCGCGGTTATCAAAATTTCCCTTTAAACCACTTTACGATAGATTTCAAAAATCAGTTTCATATACATATGTATATACGATTTCTCTCGATCACTCACTTATGAAACTAATTTCGTAAAATATATGTCAAAAATATGTTCGTTTTCCGATTCCTTACCATGCATGCATTACACTAATATATATAATATATATCGCGCTTTACGTTAGTTCATAATAAATAACACTGGTAATACGTGTCGGTCTGACGTGTAATAAATATTTTATAAACCATCTATAATAACATATACAAATATCTATATATAAGTTATAACTGATAAACATATGTGAGTAACACAAGTTTTTTTCTTGCAATTAATTTTAACTTTCTCAATACGGTTTTAAACGAATTTCTTGACGAAAAAAATGTATAAAATACAAATTCTTATTAAAATAAAACGTTCATTGTATTTAATTCACGTGTGTTATAAATTATAATATACAAATTTTAGGGTGTATTCTACACACAATATAATACTTACGTAGTACAAATACTCTACAGTGTTTTTAGAGCACATTTAATGGAATGACGTAACATTTTAATCTATGTGCAAATAAAGTTTTAAATTTATTTTTTTGAAAATAAAATTATCTTAATGTTCAAGTTATATGCAGACAATGTAACCACATACACGCTGCCAAAAACGAAATCGAGAGTTCTTATTTATATCTTTCCTCTTGATTATATTATATTTTAAAACATATTAAAACTGCTGTCTTAATTTAATTTTTAATAATGATAGAGAATGATTCGATGTAATTAAATAATTAAATCACGATAAAAATGTATATAATGTTTAAAACTGAAAACATATTACAGTAAGCACTACGACTACAATATAATAATTAATAATAATGTAATGGTATATTACTCGTATAATAGTGCACAACATAATATACTATTAAGTTTCTTTAAAATAAATACAAAACTGTGCAGGAACAAGTAATATCAGAATTCAGAATGGTGTTCTATCATAGTTCATTATCCTTTAACTGTGTATATTAATGTGCGATCAACCGTAAACAACGATAGTATTAAATAATGAATAGAATATGTACTACCTATGATATATATATATTATACTGTGATCTTATATATTATAAGAATTTGCATATAATAAATAAAAAGTATACATTATACTTTTAAAATATTCTACACGTATAAATATACGTTTTATAATTTATTCTTAACAACAAGTATAATAATATGTGAGCAAAAATCGAAAACCAATGATTTTTGATTAGGTTTTAACTATATACTCAGCCTATAATACACGAAAAGAATATATAAAAAAATTAAAAATTAAAAACGTTTTAAATTCGTATACACATGCACAACTCTATCATTTTAAACCAATGTTGGTGATCATTTATATTTAAATTATAATTATTCTACCAAAAGAATGTTCTCGAATTAGAGTCTATGATTTAATTTACACATATTTTTTTTTTTTAGTAGTACCTACTTAACTACTATTAATTTGCATTGATAATAATTGAACAATAGCGGTAAATCAACAAAAATGACAAAACTATATATGTATAGGTAAATCCAAAACTTTGATATTAATTTATATTCGTAATGTAATGCCAGTAACATAATAATATTATATAGAACATGACAATATATATTGACCCCATGTCAATGTCATTTATAAAGCGGTTTCTTGTCATTTTAGTTTGGCTTTATTAAACGACGAAGTTGATAATAAATAGAAAAAAAAAAAGAATAATTTTAACTAAAATCCTATATAAAACACTTTTTATTGTTTCATTTCCAATAAGCTGAGTTATAATATAACCAAACTCTGATTGTAAAAATCGTTTTCCTAGAGTTTTAAATTTTATAAATAGAAGTTTTTTCAAACAAAACTATTTTAGTTTTAAAAAAAATAGATAAATAAACATTAAAAAATAACAATGAAAAATAAATTTCTTACTTATAATAAAACAAATATGTGTAATAATTATGACATGACCTGAACCAATATAATGATCTATTATTATTTTTAAATACAATAAAAATCGTTTTAATTTCAGTACATTAACTATTTTTTTTTTTAAATACTTAAAAATATATTAAATTGTCTATATTTTTATCATTTTTATAAAACGGTTTTATTTATGAGGTTAGATTTCATCTTTAAAAATATTACGACTAGAATTTTTCAATTTATTCGTTTTGTAAAATTGTTGTAAAAATAATATACCATATTGCAGTTGATAAAAAGATACTTTAATGTTTCAGAAATAAAATAGTGACTATTACAATGTTATAAGTCATTAATGTTTATATATTAGTACATTACGATATAATAGTAATATATAGATAAACTATATTATAATATGTGACGTTTATGCATGTAATAATCTCATATACAAACTCTTGTACCATTCATTTTCAAAATGGTGTGTTTAATTCAAATATGAAAAATTTAAAAATATTAAAAACTTATTTATTTTAAACAAACCCCATAAACCTACTTTTGATATTAAATTTTCCTAACTATAGGCTTAGAATAGGAATATATTTTAATGATTGTTAATGCGTCTATGATCAAATTTCTACTAGTGTTAATAAAGTATAATTTAATATTGTTTGTCATTTTTAAATTTAAAAACAAATTATATTTAAGTTTTATATAAATATTTTCAGTATAATTAAAATTTAAAAAAAGCTAGTCACGTGGTAAATAAAATAGTATATTCGAATGTAATAAATAATTAAAAGGGTTTCGAGTTTTCAGACGAATAAGTTCAAAAAAAAAAAAAAATTAAATGAATACTTCATTGAATAATACCTGAAGTAGTTAAGAACTTTTGTTTTTATTTTTATTTTTTTTTAAGATAAGGATTGAGATGAATGAGAGTAAAATTTGTTTAATTTGCACGTGAATAAGCATTAAAACGCAATTATTATACTATACGTACGTAAACGCTATCACTGCCATTTCTGGTGTTCAACCAATTTTAACCTACCGATATTATTATTTTACCATCGGGAATTAAACTACCAATCAGTAAGTGATCTTGTAAACATAATTTTCAACTTGTTAGTAAAGCAAGTAATTAATAATAATAGTAGAGATTTACAGTGTTTGTATAAGCTTATAAAATTTTAAATTTTGAATGGCATTTTTTTTTTTAATTTATACTTTATAAGTCACGCTATATTTAAAACATATATATTTTTATTAGTTTAAGTACTTTAATACTTATTGCCTACAATTACATTTAAAAACAACGATGAAAATAACATTGATAAAAATTTGAATGTCTTTATTTTATAACTGAAACTTGAAATAAATAGTATTGTAATAAATAACTAATATACTTTAAAAAATATATTATACATAGTTTAATTAATCAGATAATGAATATTGTTTTTCCGCAGTGAAATATTTTAATATGTACCTATGATGCTTGTACTTAAGTCATACAATTTTATTTAAACATAAATGTGTATATTGTGTAATGTGTTTGATATACCTAATTAAATAAATTATTATAAATAATATTATCAAAAATAACAATATATAAAGTAAATACGTAAAAAACTACATCAGTATTAGGTGCAACATAGTTTTATCCAATCTAATATTTTTCAAATATGATTTTCATTTGTTATTCATAATTATAAAAATCTACAATTATTAAAAAGTACAATAATTTTAATTTAACAGAACTCAAAATAAAAATTATTATTTACGCATTTCTTTATATTATAAATTATAAAATACACACACACACACATATATATATATCAATCATCGACATTCTATTAATATAATTTAAATGTTTAATTATTAAGTATGTGTTATTATTGTTATTAACGTATTTTTTGTACTTAAATGTTACCATTAATCTGCATAAATAATTCTAATATTTTTTAATTGAATATTTAATTTATATTGATAACTTTATTATAGACTATAGTAGCGGCCAAAATGAATATGTTCGCGAGCCACATGAATAAATACTGTGATACCAAGAGCCAAAATGTTTGTAAATAATTACTTATTTAATTAATTTGATACATTTGTATAAATGTATAGGTACCAACATTTTAAAATTAATAATAATTATAAGTAAATTTTAATTGTATAAAAAAAGCAAGCCGCTTGTCAGCCACCCCTGGTATATTATATAAAAAAAAGCTTTTTTTATTCAAAAAGTTGTCTTAGAACGATTGACAAATACTCGTAAGATGTTCAAAACCAATACATTTGTTTTTGATTTGTATAGAAGTTCAGAACATGGGAGAAAATACAGCACATCAAATACAGTAAACCTTTCTAAATAACAAACGGATCTATTTCTAAACTAATCTAATTTAATATAAAAAAAATAATAACATAACTTAGTGTCAGTAAAAAACAATAATATAATATCTCATAAAAAAAATGATTGTAAGTGATAAAGATCACAGTAAATTAAATTCTATCCATGCATATGTAATTATCATAATATAAATGCGAATAAAATAAAAGATATTATCACTTGATATGTATTA